CACACACACACACACACACACACACACACACACACACACACACACACCTTACCATGCATCGTTCCTAAATGTAAAGTCTAAAGCTACACATCTGGAAAAGAATTGACCCCGTGCACGGCACAGCTTTCTTCAGGCATAAAAGACATGCAGTACAAAGGAAAAGGTTGGAAAAGTAGATTTTATTAAGTACAAGCGCTGCTTGAAAAGCAGGGCCAAGAGATGAAAAGGCAGTCCACAAACTGGGAGGAGAATGTTTGCACGGTGCGCATCTTACAAGAGACTTGTTTCAAAAACACATAGAAAGCAAAGGAGCCCAGCTTAACATGTGAACAGAAACCTTGGAGATATGCTGAATGTACATTAGAATCACCTGAAAGAGTCACTGTGCTCCACCCCCACACAAACCAGCTAATGGGATGTGGATGATACCATTAAGAGAGGAAGGCAAAACAGTGAAGCCACTTTGGGGAAAGATGTCGGTAACTTCTTGTCATTTAGTGATTTTTACTTCTGGATATTTACACAAGAGAGATCAAACAGGCTTTCGTGCAGACGTTTACAGCACTTCTATGCAGAACCGCCTCAAACTGAAAACAACCCCCAACATCCTGGGAAACGGATGAAGGCCAGCACAGCCACGTAAGGAGACACGCTTAGGAACAGAAGGCACTATAGTGAGGGAAGTGATCCAGGCCCATGGGAACACATACCACGTGATTCCAGTTGCAAGACCTGAAGAAGTCCGGCTACCCATCGGCGGCTTCCCGGGAGGGTGAGGGACTTGATTAGAAACAGATCTGAGGGGTCTGCGGATGGAGGGACAGGCGTTTTGAATCCTGACGGTCACACCTCGTCTTAACGGAGTTGTACCGTAAAGAAGCTGTGGTTGGTGGACGAGAGTTCAAGAGAGCTGTGCTGGGAAGGCCGTGCAACGCTTTTGCTGGGGCCCTTTCTGGAAGGTGTTGTTTCCAGTTGTGTCTTCCAAGGCTGCTGTGTGTGGGCCCGGGGGGTCCTACACTTGGAACGGTGGTGTGTTTTTACGTGCCCGGGATGAGGCCCGGAGTTGATGTTTTGGCTCCCTCTGTCACTTTCAAGGAAGCTGTTGCATGTGCGATGACGCTCGGCTTAGCTCTCTCATCTTTCTAAGACTTGCCACGTAAACACAGGTGCAGCCAGGTCTTTTGTCAGCTGTGGACATTCCAGATGGAACAGAGCTTGAGTGGGGCCCTCTCACCGGGGCGGTTCAGCCTGACGTAATTGGATTTGACCTCGTCCTTCACCCACAAGGCTGCTGCCAGGCAGAGAGAGTCTTGGGGTCTGGTGAGCACTCGGGGGCGCTGGGCCAATGTGCTGGGCTCGGCTTAACTTTCCCCCTCGGAGCGGGTGCAGGTGCCTGGGGTCACATTCCAGGAGGCACAGCTCATCCCATCCATCTGGAAAACTCACCCGTGGCTGACCTCTCCCTGGAGACCGGGGAATGGGGTGCAGCTGTTTGCCACTCTCGCCAGTGAGACGGCAGCTCTGTGTTCTGCTCTGGTGAAAGTGGCAGGTGTCACCCCAGTTGACTGCCATTGAGTGCTTGGGCAGAGGGCAGAGGGCAGAGCATGGGGCACCTGGTTGAGGGCAGAGAGAGCCTGGGCGAAGGCCAACAGCATGTTCGGTACTGCACTGAGCATGCTCAGTACGTCACCAAGAGGTTCCACCAGGACCAGCTCTGTAGTGCCGAGGGGTGAGAGCACAGCGCGCGGGAAGAACCAGCTACCTCCTTGGTTTTGTTCCTGTGATGGGTGCACCACTGCCCGCCCCGGGATGGAATGGCAGAGCCTGCAATTCATGGAAGAGGCAGTTTGGCAAGGCCCTGCCTGCGCGCTGGTCAGGCTGCCGTGTCGTGGGGACTGGCTTGTAGTCTTTGGCCTTCCCCGCAAGCCTGGCTCTGCTTCTAGGTTCTTAGAAGGGTTTTCTCAGGCTCCGTTGCGTGGTTAGGCCGGTGTCACACTCTGAAGGGTCTGAGAAGCTAGCCACAGACAGGTTTATATTTACCTCCTAGTCATCTGCTGCACGAATCGCACTTCGCTCTCACGTGTTCTGTAAAATCCTGAAAATGATCTTTAAACCACGTGGAGGGTGGCCTGTGGGGGTTCCAGGCACCTCTTGGATGGGGAGGTACTTACACCACCAGCTGCTGACGCAGTGAGGAGCAGTGGTGCTGAGGCAGCTCGCTCTCTCTCTCTCTCTCTCTCTCTCTCTCTCTCCTGAGGTGTCTTACCGCACAGCCTTTGCTTCCTGTTGAGGTTGACAGAGCCCCGAGTGCCTTGCAGAGAAGCCGCGGTAGAAGCCCAGGTTCCCTGTGCTTTCCTAAGCAGGGAGAGCCTGCTTAGGTCAGCGGCTGCCTCTGAGGTCCAAGCTCATCAGTGGCCTCTTTGGAGTCCACGGGGGGGTGGGGGTGGCAGTAGCCCCCTGTACTCTGTGCCAGCATTCACAGTTTCGCCCTAGGGGTCAAGTGTGTCTTCCTTGCATTCACATAATTGTTGACATATACTGGGTCAGTGTGCTCAGCCACTTAGTGGCAGACAGTGTGGCTATTTATTATTTGTTTGTCTGGTTATTGTGTATGATGTATGTGTTTGTGTGTGTGTGTGTGTGTGTGTGTGTGTGTGTGTGTATGTATGTATACCTGTATACAGGTGCCTGGTTACAAGTCTTAATGTGCACGTAGAGGCCAGATATTAGTTGTCTTTTGCCTTTTTTTTTTTTTTTTTGAGATCAGGCCTCTCGCTGAACCTGTAGCTCACTCATTTGGCAAGAATAACTGAGCCAGGGTCAGAGATCCTCCTGCCTTCTCCCTGACACTGTGATTACAGGCCTGGCTTTTTACTTGGGTGCTTGGGACCAAACTCAGCTCCTCACGACTACATGGGAAGCACTTTACCGACTGAGCTAGCTCTCTAGCTGTAGCAGGATTATTTGTTGATGTTCTTCGTGGATGATTCTTTCTAAACCAGAGTGATTTTGATCCTAGGGGATGTTTCTTTATATTTTTGGCTAACCCAAGGTCAGAGAGGTTATGTCAGGCATTGATAGGAAGAGGCCAGGGTTGTAGTCAGTGTTCTATAACACACAAATATGGAGCATCCCTTTAGAACTGTCTGACCCAAAATGTGAATAGACCCCAAGTGGAAACCTACTCTAGACAGAGAGCTTCCAGGCCAGGACAGTGAACATTCTTCCTCCACTTTAGGACACAGATTGAATGAGATATTTTATTCAGCGTCTCATGGCTGTGTCAGCTTTTGTATTAGTAAAATATTCTCCAATAGTCAATGAAACATTTTGTTTGTTTGTGGGACCCTGCTATTAAGGTCAAAGTTTGGCATCTCTGGGTCACCTCTGAGCTCAGTACAAGATGACTGGACTCACTTTCTCAGCTGGGTTCCCTCTCTGCCAGATCAGGGGAACCCCAAATCCTCTAAGGAGAATCACACAGCCCTCAGGGAAATCACAGGCCCAACCGTTTCCTGTGGTATCATCACAGGCTTTGGAACTCCTGAGTTTGTACTGCCATCTTGTAACAGCGACTTCATTTCAAAGAGCTGACTGTCACACCGAGTGGAAAACTCATTTTCACATCCCTGGTGCAATCAGGAGCCTTGCTTTGTCCAGGAACCTCTCTCTGAGAGTTCCTGAGTGAAGCGGAACCTTTGATCCCTATGTTCCTCTCTTCCCACCCTGGAAGCTTACAGCGCTTGGACTGTCCCACTGGAGAAACGCACATTTCCAGGGTGACACTCAGCGGCCCCATGGTAGCATCGGAACACAGAATGACAGCCATGTCTCCCCACAGTCCGGCTACTGATGGAAGTGGAAAGACATTTGTTGAATTTGTGTTGCTTAAATATAAGGATTAAATTAACTTTCAATGAATTATGCCAGTGAGTAGGCCAGAATGGCTGTCTCTTTAACAGGGTAGATCACACTGAACCCACCTATGGTACAGAAGCAGGAAGCAGCAGTCTTCCTCCCTTCCTGGTCTGGCTTTCAGTGAAGGCTCATGAGAAGGCGCTGCTATTGTGTTAGTTAGCCTTTGAATTGTTCCTGTGACAGACTCCTTGGCATAAGCTACTTAAAAGGAGGAGTGATTCTTTTTGCTCATGGTTTCAGAAGGCTTGGTTCCTGCACATCCCATGTTCCCTGTCAGGGAACAGGAACTCCTAGTTTGCTCCTTATAGCTGTGATAAAGACCACAAGCAAAAGCAATGTGGGAATGAAAGGGTTTCGTTCATCGTAGAACTCACAGGCTGCACACCATCCCTGAGGGAAGTCAGGGCCATGGAGGAGTACTGCTTATTGGCCTGCTCTCGGCCCACCTTCTTGTGTAATCCAGCACCACCTGGCCAGGGGTGGCACCGCCTACAGTGGTCTGGGCTTCCCCACACCAATCATCAATCAAGAAAATGCTCCACAGTCTGCCCACAGGCTGACCTGATAGAGACATTTTCCTAATTAAAGTTCCTTCTTCCCAGAATGTCCTAGCTTGTGTCACGTTGATAAAAAACATAGCCAGCCCACCTCCCTATTTGTGTCATTGTAACACTTTCAATTCCATCCTAATTCCAAGCAAAAACTCATCTTAGTTCTAAGATGAAACTCGAGTCAGCAATGCAAACAGCAGTTTTAAAATCAAATGTTCTAACTCAATATAAGGATTTACTAATTTGGTACTTACAGGAATGATGCTAAGAAAATTAATTTTTTTTAAATTTGTTTTCTGTGATTAAGCCATTAAGTTCTGCAAGAGAAAAAAAAATGTGTGTACAGTTAAAAAATAAAAAGAAAAAAAGTCACTGCACTTAATAACGCACAGCGGTCTTGAACCGGAGCGGAGGTGTTTCAGGCGGCAATCCTTGCCTCTGCCTGGGGAGTTCAGAACCAAGGCTGCAGTGTGCAGTGCAGCTCAGATGGCAGGAATGCTGCTGATGTGCTCAGCGTTTGGTTCCGAGCTGGCATTTGGTTGAGCATGAAGAAGCCTCTCACTGCTACCATAGTTTTGCAAACATTACCTTCAGTTACGTGGCCCCTAGCCTCAGAAGCTGGCTTTTAAGTGAGAAGCAGTTGCTTAAATCCTGTCCCCATGACTATCGAAGTCCTGAGGGGTATACTCAGTTCTGTCTTGGAGGCAAGGACATCTGTTCTTAAAGGCCAAGGAACCTGTCCAAGGCTGTGTGGGCACTTAATGAAGATCACTATCTTCCAATAATGCTAGGAATCTCTATGTCCCTTGCGATAGCAGTGGATAGGAGACCCATTTGAGAAAATGGTCTCTGAAAAATCAAAGAGCTACTTCATAGGAGAAAATGCAGGGAGGGATGTCTCTCCATAAAGAAATAAAAGACTGAACATAAGCTATGAAAGGAAAGACTACCAAAAGGCCAGTGAGGAGACATGCAATGGAAATCTAGCTCTCGTGCAGGAGCACGGGTCTCTGCCTGCGTGACTCATGACTCTGCCTGGAATTTAGAGTCTCCTTTTGTTGTTTCTTTCATTTCTTCCACAACTACTTTCTGTCAGGTAGTGTGAACATAACTGTGAGGAACGAGAAACCCCAGCCCCACTGATGTAAACAGTAACTGCACTATTTTCTCACTTAATGATTCCTGAAGGGGAGCGGTTTCAGGGTGGTTATTCTGCGGCTCAGTGACATCCTCAAGGACCCGTGTTGCTTTGATCTCTTTTCTCTGCAGCCCTCAGCCTGTCAGTTTTGTCTTGACTAACCCCCTTGTGGTCACAAAATGGCTGCTGGGGTTCTTGCTGTCACATGCGTTTGTAATGGGATTTAGCAGCCGAGGAGGACCCATGCCTCCCTCTGTGTTTCCTTTTAGTAGATGGAAACCTTTTCCAGGAACCCTTCAGGAGATTTCATCTCATTTCAAGTTGTCAGAGGAACCCATGTGGTCATTGCTAAGGCTGGCACTGCTGAGGAATCGGATGCCCAGAGCTGGATTAGTGGGGCACGGCTCGTGCACAGGGCAGGGTGGACTGTGAAAACAAAGCGAGGGTTCTGTTACAAAGGAGGGAAGAGAGAGGGGTGAGGCCAACAACTGGAAATATTGCTCCATATTTTAAATATTTTTATTAAAGACAACCTCAAACATGAGAGGAAAAAAACAGCAGGTTTCCAATTTCTTTTCCCCCGGTTTCTGCAGTTATCACACTCTTCCCAGTGTTTTTTCATCACTATGCTCTCTCTCATCTCCTGGAGTATTTTAAGACACCCCAGACACACATCCAGGTGTCACGATATCAGTGTGCTGAAGACTTCCCTCTTACCTGGACCCGGATTTAAGGGAACCAGGTATAAGGGAAGTCATTAACCCAAGATTAGGAAGGACTGACAGGCATTGACTACTTTTTGCTGGAGAAGAGACCAAAAAAAAAAAAAAAAAAAAAATCTAACCAGGTATAGTGGCCTTGAATTTGAGGCCAGCCTGGGCTACATCATAGAAAAACAACAGCAAAACAAACAAACCAACAAAACCAAATCAAGGGCAAAATTCCTCAGACGACAAAAACAATAGCCATGGAAGAGGGTTCTCCCTGCCTTTGTTCTGGCTCATCTGGGGTCTTTCGTACAGGGGGAAGCAGCTGTCCTTGGAAGTTTGAGTTCGGGCTCAGGGCCCCTCCCTGCAGGCAAGTGAGATTTCAGCCTCAAATTTGTAGTTTCCACTCTCGGCC